CCAGGCCTATCCCTGCTTCCCCAGTGTTGGAATTAAAGGCATGCACCACCATGCTCAGCCAATATTTCCTTTTTTAAAAACAAGTTTTTAATAAGGTTCATTAGCTTATAGAATTGCAATAAAGTTAATTCTTAAAGTCACTGCCATCTTGCATTTTGTTTCAGTGGTGGTGGTGAGTGATATTCTTGAGATGACCACTGCACCATATTTTGTATGGATTTTTAACATTCCTGCTAAGTATTCTAGTGATGCACCTGTAGATTAGATTAGAATTGGTTTCATGATTTCCTTTTTAGTGAGTTTGTTACTTGTGTACATAAAAAATAATGATTTTTGTATTTTAGCTTTGCAGTATGCTACTTTTGGTAGAGTCCTAGGTGTGTTTTAAAGCACAGGATGGGTTGACAGTTACGAGATAACAACACATTTTCCTATCAGTAGCCTTTAAATTCCCTACTCTTGTCTTATTCTGGCGAGACTACAAGCACCACATTAAGTAAGAATGGCAAGAGAAGATATTTGATCCTTGAGTTACTCTTTTAGAGGAACTACTTTCTATTTCCCCCGTATGTTAAAATGCACAGTGGAGGCTTGCCATACATAGCCGTCATTAGGTTGAATTATGACTCTTACTTTCCTACTTAAAGGGATGTTGAATTATGTCAAAGTTTTTCTGCATTTTCTGAAATGATTCTGTGATTTTTGTATTTGATTAAACTTATGTGCTGTGTATTGCATTATTAACTAATCAGCTAATTATACTTGCATTCCAGAATGAAACCAACTTGATCATGATATATGATCTTTTGATGTGTTGTTGAATTCATTTTGTAAGGATTTTTGTCAAGAATTTCTGAATCTGTTTAGAAAATTGTTTCCTGTGCTGATATGTTCAAGGCTGAGCCCATGGTGACCAGGATCTATCTAGAAGCTGGATGGCTCAGAGATCTAAGACTCTGTGGACAGAACAGAACACACCTGACAAAAAAGCAATGAAATGATTCCTAATAGTATTCTGCTATACTCATGGGACTGGTGCCCAGCCCAATCTTTATCAGAGAAGATTTCTCTAGCTGCTGATGGGAGTGGATGGAGAGACTCACAGTCAAACATTAGGTAGAGCTTGGGGAACCTCACAGAAGAGGGGGAGGAAGGATTGTAGGAGTTAGAGGGTTAGGAACACCAGAACATCACACACAGAATCAACTAAGCAGAGCTCACAGAGACTAAACTGGCACTATGGAGCCTGCATGGGTCTACACTAGGCCTTCTGTATACATGCTGTGGTTGTTTAGCTTGGTGTTCTTATGGGACTCCTAACAATGAGTATGGGGGTATTTCTGAGTCTTTTGTGTGCTCATACGACCTTTTCTTTATCCTACTGTGTTAAGGGACAATGATCTATATTCTGTTAATTATATTTTAAATAAATGCTGATTGGTCAGTAGCCAGGCAGGAAGTATAGGCTGAACAACCAGACAGAAAATAGAGGCAGGTCAATGAGAACAGAGACTTCTGAGAAGAGGAAAGCTTGGTCTGCAGTCATTGTGACCCATCCACAGAAGAAGCAAGATGTGACTGCCTCGCTGAATAAGGTACCAAGCCACGTGGCTAACATAGACAAGAATAATGGGCTAATATAAGTTATAAGAGTTAATAAGAAGCCTGAGCTAATGGGCCAATTAGTTTATAACTAATGTAGATTTCTGTGTGATTTTTTTTGGGACATAATGATTGTGGGAACCAAGAAGGACAGAAACCCTGACAACACTACTGGGTTGCCTTATCCAACCTGGATATGAGAGTTTATATCTAGTCCTATTGCATCTTGTTATGCCATGTTCAGCTGAGATCATTTGGGGGCCTGCTCTTTTCTGAAGGGAAATAAAGGAGGTGTGGATTCTGAGAGGGAGGTGGGAGGGCTTGAAGGAGGGGGAGGAGGCTGTGGTTGGGAGTATGAAAAAAAAATTTACTTTTCAATTAAAAGAACTTCTGTATCAAGGAAATTAGCCTCTATTTTTCTCCCTGTCCTTATCAGGCTATGGTATCAGAGTAATACTTGCCTTCACAACATCAATTCTCAAGTGCCTCTTTCCTTTTTATTTTATGGGAATAGATTAATTAGTATGCTGGTTGGTTTTAACTGTCATCTTGATCCAACCTAGAATCACCTGTGAAGAGTCTTAGAAAAGGAATTCTCTAGATCTGCTTGACCTGTGAGTAATTAATTTCATGGTGTATTGCCTGATGGCTAACCGATGTAGGAATACCAAGCCCACTGCAAGTGGTACCATGTTCTAGGCATTATAAGAGAGAAGAAGCTGGCTGACAGCAATCAGGTGTGTAGGACAAAGGTATCTGTCTGTCTCTGCAAGATTCCTCAAGCTGCACCTCTGTGACTTTCCTGCAATGATGTTCTATAACCTGTGTCGGTGAACTGTACTAGTCCCTTCCTTCCTTCCCTGAGTTGCTCTCTGTCAGACTGTCTGTCACAGCATCAGGAATGACATTAGGATTACTGCTGTTGACTTTTATGTTTGACAGAATTCAGCAGTCAATCTACCGGGCCTAGATTTTGCTGGTTGGAAACTATTATTGCTTCAATATCGTCCTTCATTTATCTGTTTATGTTTTTAAAATACACTCAGTTCAATTCTGCTAGATAATAAGTGTTTATAATTCTAGCCTTATCCTAGGTTTTCCAATTTATTGAAATGTAAGTTTCAAAAGTGTTTTCTAAAGATCTTTAGGCTCTCAATGGTGATCTGTGTAATATCACCCTTTTCATCTCTTAATTTCTAAATTTAAATGTTCTATTTTGGGTAATTTGGATTTTTTTGATTACCATTTAATTTCATTTCTGATCTTCATTATTTATTTATGCTTTCACTTGGGGTTAGGCTTATTTTGATTTTCTATAACCTTAAGATACACCATTAGGTTATTTATTCAAGAATTCTCTTAATTTCTTTTTATAAAAATATAGGCTTCTACATAAGAAGTAGAAAAAGACAAGATCTTCTGAGTAAACTGGGAGCATGGGGACCTTGGGAGAGGATTGAAGGGGAGGGGAGAGGCAGGCAGGGGAGCAGAGAAAAATGTACAGCTCAATAAAAATAAATAAAAAAATACAGACATTATTCATAGGTATACACTTTCCACTTCTAATGGATTTTGCTGTATCTCAAAGGTTTTGGCAAGTTGTACTTGTATTTTCATTTGCTTCTAGGACTTTTAAATTTCCTTTATGAGTTTCTCAGGGACTCATTATTTAAGCATGGTATAACTCAATGATCATTTAAGAGCACTAATCTCCTCGTATTGCACAGTTCTTTTGTTGTTGACTTGTTATTTTAAAATGCAAGAAACTGTTTTTATTCTCTTACATTTCTTAGTATTTGCTTTATGGACTGTAATGTGATTTATTTTAGAGAAGGTTCAATTGGCTGCTAAGGAAAATATGTATTCTATGGCTTTTTCATGAAATTGTCATTTTATGTCTACTGTCACTGAATCATTTGTCTATTGTTTTTTTTCTAGGGGGTGGACCTAAATTATCTATCAATAATAGTACTGTTTTGAAACCATTCACTATTGTTGAATCTAGACCAATCTGTCATTGTGTTTGTTTTTAGGACTCTGGGTACTTAGTTGAAATGTTTTTATCATTGTTGCAGGTTTTTAAATTACAACTCTAACATTTACTTATTATGCATGTTTCTGTGTATATATGTATAAGAACATGTGTACCATGTCACATGTAGAGATCAGAGGGTAACTTGTAGGAGTTGAACGCTCTCTTTATGAGTATGCAGTGGATGTCTTTATATACATACATACATACGGACTAGCTTTTTATTTAAAATGTACTTTTTAAAAATCAAAATATATACTCTTACTCTAGGTGACTATATGAATCTAAATGCTTTTGAAACTGTTCAGAAGGCAGCCAGAACACTGAAAGAGCCAAGAGGTCACCACTGGCAATCCCGAGTTGCTCTCTTAGGCACCTATCATACTGATGTAAACTTACAACTGAAATTCTTTGGGATCACAGTCCACACCATCCATAAGCATGCCACTGACTTGTACTCTCACAGTATGTTTTCCCCATCCCTTCACTGTTAGTCTGCATGTATCTTGCACATGGTGATAACACACATTTGAATCTTGTTTTCAACTTCAGTCAGCTAAATTGAACCTATTAATTGGAGAAATTAGACTATTAACATTTATGATTGTTGCTGTTCTGGTTTGTTTTAATACTGTTTATTCTTTTCTTTCTCTCTTATTCATCTTAGAGCTTAATGGTTTACTGATCTGACGGCTTTTACTTCTTTCTTAGTTCTCATTTATTTATGATTCCTTTCATAAATAAATGCTTTCCTGAGTTCCCATGATTATGACTGCCTTTCTTATTTACCCATATATAAAGGTTATTTAAGTATTTTCTACACTGCTCTTTTATGGGGCCATGAATTGCTTTGTCTTAGAAGGTCTTCAATGTCTATTGATTGTAGAAGTTAACTTGGAAAAATACAGTAAATTTTGTTAGCAGTTAATTTACTCCCAGTGCTTCAAACACGTCTATTGTACGTTTACGGCTTCCAGGATTTCTATTGAGATGTATGATATAATTCTGATGTATTAGTCATTGTAAGTAATTTGGAAATCCTCTCTTGCAGTTTTCAATATTCTTTATCCTGTAGTCTTAACAGTTTAACTACAATGTGATGTCACGAGGTGCTCTCTGGTCATGCCTACTTGAGGTTTGTAAATCCCTCTTCTGTCCATAGGTTTCCCAAAATTTGAGAAACTTTATGCATACATTTTATTGAACAGGTTTAGTATGTTTCCAATTTGCTACTCAGTTCATTCTACTCAACTGGAAGAAAGCCAGTTTTTTTTTTTTTTTTTTACTTTACATAAACTTAGTAGAAGTGTAGAAAGTAAACAGGAATATAGTATTTCTACGGGCCTGAGGAGTTCCCAATACTCACACGACTCACTGCAGTCCATGTGGATCCTTCTAAATTTCTGAGCACACAGCGTTTTCACCTCATAGTCATCAAAATACTTGCTGATACTCATTGCAAAGTTGTAACCGGGCAGTATCATTAAAGCTGAATTTATGAGGTTGCTGACGAATTCAGGAACGTCACTACCTGTAATTAAAAAATAATATATTAGCTTCAGATATTAGAAAAGTAGTGAACCTGCTCTACTAACCAACTTCCCCTCAAATAATTAAGCCATTCTTAGACAAACTATCAGACAATCCCTAAGACCACAGCATTTGTTGCTAAATGTACCCACCTAGATAACTTGTGGAAAAATAACAGAATTAATCACACAAATAAGTAGATTCTGATAAAGGTGACTTTTGCTAGCATCTGCTTTCCTTTCTTTTTATTCTTTGTTTTCCTTTTCCTTTCTCTCTTTCTTCCTCCTCTTCCTTTTCCTCCATCTCTAAGTACCATATACCTACTCAACAAATATTTGGTGTTTCCAAAATCATAGGTTTTCAGATAATTGAAAAGTGTTTATCAGTTATTTTTTAAATTCCTATGTAATTTTATCCCCATTTATTCAATGTATTTTCTGGAAAAGGGGAAAATTATATGGTGTTCTTACCATAAAATTTCAGTATAGTAGAAATGACGATACTGAAAATAGTTGAGAAGTAGTTAAAAAGTGTGAGCTTGATGTAGGAAGTAGTGCTGCTCTGGAACAGGAAGCTTCCAAGATATGTGAGAGGAACAACACACCAGCCATACAGCATGAAAATCAGCATTATGTCCAGAAAGTTATAACTCACAATAAATGCATCCACTTGGCAGACTCTGAATACACCCTGGGACAGAGAATAGAGGTGTAAAAGCAAGGTGAAAGATACTGTGCAGAGACACTGTTTCAACTAGGCCAGAATGATTAGTTACCAATTTGGGTCATGTTTAACCTTTAGCGTGAACTTAGGTGAACTATTTCCTAACTGAGAATATTACAATGAGCACAGTAATTGAGCTCCTCTTTCCATTTTTCTTCTCTTTGAATAGGCCATACTTCCCACAGCCATGATCAAAGACAAAGAAAGATACAGAGAAAGACACTAGAAAATGGAAAGATATTCTTTGCTCATGGATTTGGAACAATTGACATTGTGAAAATAACCATTTTACCAAAAGCTATTTACAGATTCAATGCAACCCCAATGAAAAACTCCCATCTCATTCTTTGCAAAAATAGGAAAAAACACCTAAAATTCATTTAGAACCACAAAAAGCCCAGATGACCAAAATAATCCTGAAAAAAAAGAACCATAACAACTCTGGTGAGATTACTATTACAGATATATTGTAGGACTATAGTAATAAAAACAATATGATATTGGCACAAAATCAGACATGTATATCAATGGAACACAACTTAATATTCAAACATGAGGACACATAACTTCAGTTACTTTAATCTGAAAAAGATGCAAAAAAATGACCACCAGAGAAAAGACTAAATCTTCAACAAATGGTGCTTGCAATACTGAATGCCTACGTGCAGAAGAGTGATATGACCTGTATCTATCACCTTGTACAAAATCTAATTCCAAATGATCAAGACCTAAGTGTGAAACCTGAAACACTGAAATTGCTAGTAGGAACCCAAGGTAGTGCCCTCCATGTATAAGTGTAGAAAAGTGCTTTCTGAACAGGACTTCATTTGCCCTAGAATTTTGGCATGTGAGTCTTTGTAAAACTAAACTTTAAAAACTTTTTAAAGTTTATAAAAAAGCTTTATAAAACTAAAAAACATCTGCCCAGATAAAGAAACGGTAAGGTGATTTCTTAGAAAATTGTTATTCAATCTACTTCAAGACCCAGCTATATCAACTTTAGACATACACCCAAAGGATACGCAATCATATATCAAGGGAACTTGCTCAACCATGTTCATAGGAGCATTATTCATAACAGCCAGAATCTGGAAACAACCTAGATGCCCCTCAATTGAAGAATGGATAAAGAGAATGTGGTACATTTACACAATTGAGTACTACTCAGCTGTAAGAAATGATGACCTCATGAAATTTGCAGGCAGATGGATGGAACTAGAAAAAAATCATTCTGAGTGAGGTAACCCAGACCCAGAAAGACAAACATGGTATGAACTCACTTATACGTGGTTATTAGGAGTAAAGTATAGGATAATCAACCTACAATCCACAGCCCCAGAGTGGTTAGATAACAAGGAGAGTCCAAAAAGGTATGCAAGGATTTCCCTGGGAAGGGGAAGTAGAAAAGTTCTTCTGGGTAGACTAGGGGCAGCGGTTTGTGGGGGATGGAGAAATAGGAACTAGAGGGAGCAGGTTGGGCGGGCTAGTGTGGTAGGGGGATTGGAAGCAGGATGGAAGTGGAGAGTAACAAAAGAGATGTCTTGATGGAGGCACATTTTGGGGTTAGGGAGAAACCTGGGGTCAGAGAAACAACAGGAACCCACAAGGATGACACCAATTAAGATTCCTAGCAATGGTGGAGAGGATGCCTGAACTAGCCATCCACTAAGTAGATTGGTGAATTCCCTAATTACCATCAGAGATCATCTAGCCAGTAACTGATGGAAGGTGAGGCAAGGACCCACAGACAAGCACTACATTGAGCTCCAAGAGTTTTGCAGAAGAAAGGGAGGAGGGATTGTACCAGCCAGGGGAATCATGATGGGAGAACCCACAGAGACAGCTGACCTGAGCTTGTGGGAGTCGTGAATGCTGGACCAATGGTCAGGGAGCCTGAATGGAATCTATCGAGGCTCTCTGTACATGTGTGACAACCGTTGTGTGGCAACCATGCAGCTTGGTCTCTTAGTAAGGCTTCTAACAGTGAAGGCAGGACCTCTCCCTGGGACCTAGCTGGCTTTTGGTAACACATTCCCCATGCTGTATTACCTGGCTCCACCTTGACCTAAGGGGAGGATCTAGGTCCTGCCTCAACTTGATGTGCTATGCTTTGTGCAAGCCCATGGGAGGGTTGTCCCCTTCTGAATGGAGATGAAGGAGTGGATGGGGAGGAGGTAGATAGATGAGAAAGGAGAGGGGATAGGAGGAACGGAAGGAGGGGAAACTGGTTGGTATGTAAAATAAATGAAAAAAAAGTTATTATTTTTTTTTAAGAAATGATCAGGTGAAGAGGAAACCCAGAGAGTGGGAAAGAATCTTTGTCAGCTGTACATTCAACAAAGGATTAATACCAAGGAAATTTAAATAACTCAAAAAAAACAGAGCCAAAAACCACAACCCAGACAAATCATCCAAATGAAGAAAACAAAACAAAACAAACACAAAACAACGAACAACAAACAAAAAACCAAACAAATGGCTAAGTAATATCTCACAGAAATTTCATTATCTCTATTAATTAGGGAAATGCAACTCAAAATGACTTTGAGATTTCTTCTTACCTCAGTCAGAATGGCAAGGACTGCTGGAGGGAATGTGGGGAGAACCAAACCCTCATCCACTGTTGGAGGGATTGCGAACTGTTTGAGAAATCAGGGTGGAAAACCAAAAACAAAAAAAAAAAAAAAGAAAAAAAAAAGAAAAAAAATCTACCTCTGACCTAGCTACAGCAATCCTAAAGGACTTGCTATTTTATTTCACATTTACTTGCTAAGCCATGTTCAATGCTGTTCTATTCACAACAGCTAGGAAATGGAAACAAGCTATATGTCTTAAAACTGATTAATAGGTAAAGAAAATGTGTTACATACAGACTACAGAATACTATACAGCTGTAAGGAAAAAGGGAATTTGTAGGTTAAATGGATGGAACTAGAAAGTATTACATTGTATGAGGAAAACCAGAAACAGAAAGACAAATATTATACGTTCTCTCTCATCTGAAGTTCATAGTTCCAAATACTTATATGTGAATATATAACATGGAGTAACTACAGAAACCAGGAAAGTAAAATTGGACAACTGTTTAGTGTGGGAGGATAGAGAAGGGAATAGGAGGGCACGAGTTATCTAAAGGGTGAAGTGGGAAAATAGGGGCTCTAATTAGGCAAGAGGGAGATACAGAAGAAAGAGGGTAAAATAAAAGTAAGGACATTTTGTTAATATATAACTTTTTTTATTTAAACTATTTTTAAAATATACATAATTAAAAAAAATTCATCTGGGCTGACAATAGTCCCTCCTATAGCCATAGACCACCTATCAAAGTACCTAACACTAGGCATGAGAAAGCCCTTTTTGAGTTGTTGGCCCGGGCTGTCCAAGAGACTCCTAAAACATTATATAACTTATTGCTATTGCCATTGCTTCTAATCCCCCTTCAGATGTGGAAGGTGTGTCCCTATTCCCAAAGACATCACGCACTTTAGACACAAGGTCCAGAGGTGCTGAACTGGATCTGACCCAGTGCTCTTCCCTGAAGACTAGCTTTTATGTACCATAAGGTATCATGAAAGCTTCCAAAGGAGGGAAGGAACCAGTAATTCTACCCAACTATCACACCTAAGAACTGCAACAATGACCAGATTAGCAAGCATACCTTGGTGGTAAGCAACAGCTCTTTAATTGCATTTAAGACCCACTCAACAAGAAGGATATCTAGGACTGTTTCACAGAGAAACCCTTTCTCAAAACAAACAAACAAACAAACAAACAAATAAAAAAGAAGGCACTCTTACCTTATGCTGGGAACGTACCCAACTACTCAGGGCTAGTGAAGTCAAGGATCTTGGAGGAGAGCCTTCAATAGCCACCAGCATGAAACTAATTGCACTCTAAATGTTTGTCTTTTAATTCACAGATAAACATAGTCCTAACCCCTCATCAAGGAAACTTTCCAACAGATAGAGACAATGATAGAAAACCACAATCAATCAAAATGTAGAATGTGTAGCCCAGTCCCAAATGATACAACGTAACTCACACAGTTAAAGCTCAGGGATCACTTTGAAAGGAGACAGAGGAACAGGGAGTTTGCTGTGAGATTGTGTCTCCTACTAATGTCATAAGCCATAAACCAACAAATTCTTACTATCGTGAATGCCTAAACATGACTTGAATAAGGACAATACTAATAGACATCCTAAAGTGGATGTAGGGAAAGCTCAAGAGGCCTTATCCCTAGACAAAGAACTACAGACTACAAAGGGATGCTAAGAGTGAGAGAAATAGTCTTCCCCAGGGAAGAGAATGCTAATCCATTATCCAATACCAAATGGTCAGTCTTAAAAACATAAATACATAAGTAACAGTATACAGACTGAGAGGGTTGTATTTATGTATTTAGGAATACAGACAGACAGACAGGCAGACACACACACACACATGCACATATATACCAACAATAAAAAGAAAAAAAAGGCCATGAAACTGAAAGACAGTAAGGGGGAATATATGGGAAAGTTTCAAGGGAGGAAAGAGAAGGGGGGATTGACATTAATTATAATCTCAAAAATTAAAAAAGAGCTAATTGTGAATATGGCAACAAAAATAAACTGAACATACTTTTCAGGATGACTCTGAATATGCGTGAGGATGGGTTTAAGAGTAACTCTGAAGTTCTGACTGTCCTAGGTGGTTAAAAGTAGAGCAGTAACTTCTCTGAGCCTCAGTTTTCTGTCTATAAATATGATGGGTCATGTCAAATGTTTGTGGTATCACACAAAGTCAAACATGAGAAGTAACAGTGATACTGGTATAAATGTTGAGAACATATGCTCTTGTTTATATCTTGCTTTTTATCTTCCATCCAGGAATGATAGAAGTATGTCAGCCAAGTTTTAAGAACCACAAAAAAAGTAATACCTAAGCATGGACATGAAAAGATTCAAGTTCAATTAATTGTAGATTAAATTTTTCCATTAATTTATAGTGTGTGTGTGGGCATGTAGACATCAGAGGACAACTTGCAGGAGCCAGCTCTCTCATTCCACTATGTAGGTCCTAGAGATTGAACTAAGATCACCAGGGTTGACAGTTTCTGCTGTCATCTTGCATAGAGGAGAGATTATAAAGTTAGGTAGCAGACCTGAATTAGTGAAAGATTTGAAAATAGATCCTCAACAAGATGATGAGCTTCTCTTGCCCATGTCTATTGGATATGAACTATGTACCAGAGACTGGCATTGGCAATAGTAGCTAGCCTTGCATATTAAAAAAAAGTGCTCCTCTCTCCACCTTGAACCTTCTCTGTGTAACACACAGAACACACACTATTTGATTCTCATACAATCACTCCTCCTGGACTCTGGTGCTCATGAGCCTCTTATAGCTGTTAAGGTCCTGAGTCATCTTCAGAAATAATTCTTGGACTATAATATGAATGATATGAATAAATATGCATCTTATTGTGGGAACCAAACTGGTATTTTTTTCAAAAATTATAATCTCCAATTGGCAATCCATAGTTCATCTTTCCTAATGGTAGTTGGTATTCTTTCTAATGTTCTATTTTCAGTTCTGTGTCAACTGAGAAACAGTAAATGTTGTGAGGGTTGAGACAATGTATTATTTACAGTATTTGTCTTCCACACCTCATTACTCTCAACTATGTAGTTTTGCATTCTGTTTACTCAAAAGACATAAATAAAATAATGGTTGCTATTGTCTACTAGTGAATAAAATAATTACATTAAGAGATGGCGTAATTCTTGCATACACACTCTCCAGACCACTTTCTCAGTGTTTCAAAATGACTGCTAAGTCAAAACGCATTCTTCTTTGGTGATCAACCTTGATGAACACAGACTGTAAGTGTGGAGGATGAACAGTAATAGAAGCTGGCCTTAAATCTTGAGTCTAAACTATATCATTCAGCCCCAATTTTCCTGATGGCCCCGAGAGGATTGAGCAGGCATTGGCCTAGTTGTAATTAACTTGTCAGTGCAAGTTAACAGATTTTAGAGCAGATTTTGACCAGGGCATATTGTTAAACAAATATATGGCAGAAAATGATTCTCCTCAGTGAAAGAATCTGAGGCAGCATGTTTGTGGTGTTTTTGTTTTTGTTTTTTTTTTTAATGAGGGTCTATAGTAAATCTCTGACATGGTAATCCAAAGTAGTTTCAGATTACTTGATTACTTTCATTGTAGGATACAATCATTTGAGTAGAAATTAGTATGAACAACAGAAGGGACGTGACTTTTGATGCAACTGCAGCTAATACTCACCAGTAGTACACAGCAGGGGATGGAGAAGAAGATGAGGTCACACAACAGGGCAGAGAGCCAGTACGTGAGCACATACACACCACTCAGAAACTGGATGTCCTTGGCTTGACTGATCCTTTCAGTCACTGTCTGGAGACTAAAGGTCCCCACCACCACAGAAATGCCAAAAACCAAACACTGTACTATTTGCAATCCACTTACAGGCCTACAAAAGATGAAATAAAATATGAAATAAGCTATGAAATATAGGTAGGAAATACTGGCATTAGCTTCCCCCTCCCCCTCCCTCTCCAGTCCAAAGAGCAGTCAGGGTTCCCTGCCCTGTGGGAAGTCCAAGGTCCTATGTCTGCAGGCCAGAAAAGGGCACCAGACCTCATTACAGATGGTTGTGAGCCACCATGTGGTTGCTGGGAATTGAACTCAGGACCTTTGGAAGAGCAGGCAATGCTCTTAACCACTGAGCCATCACTCCAGCCCCCCAGCAAAGGTATGTTAAGACTCAATTTCAGAAAAAGAAAAATTATACATACACTGTGTTAGGACCATAATAAGGGTGAGGTTGAGGCTTATTGAAGCCAGTAATGGAAGCATTAGGTCCAGAAAGGGTCCTAAAAAGAATGTTGTCTAATACTGCCAGGGATATTGCAGATGAATGGTATGCCTCATTATTGAAGAAAAGAGTGAGCACTGTTTTGTTTTTCTCAACTTTAATAGAAAGTGCAATAATGCAGAAGTTACGACACTCTTTACTTCCCAATATGTAATCATTTATATCACCTAGGATAAAACAGAAAATGTCAGTGAGCCATTCTAGGTAGTATATTGCCTAGAACCTGTATTGGAAAGGATGGACAAAAAAGTTGTGGTTTTTTATTTTTCCACTTAACATTTTGTTTTTTTAATTCTAACAATGGATATTTGTCTTTAAGAATTTCACAGTATCATCAATCCTACAATAATCTCACTGTATAATTCACAAACCAAACCACAGATTAAGAATATACTATATTTTGAGACAGTTCCTGGCTGTCCGGGAACTCACTATGTAGACTACACTGGTCTCAAACTCATAGATATCCACCTGCCTCTTCTTCCCAGGTGCTGGGATTAAAGCTGTGCACAACTATTTTTCCAGCTTCTTTATGTAGGCATTTAGTGCTATGAACTTTCATCTTAACACTGCTTTCATTGTGTCCTATAAATTTGGGTATGTTGTGTAGTTATTTTCATTGAATTTTAAGAAGTCTTTAATTTCTCCCTTTATTTCTTCCTTGACCCATTGATGATTCAGGTGATCATTGTTTGATTTCCATGTGTTTGTGGGCTTTCTGGAATTAGTACTGCTGTTGAATTCTAGTTTTAAAGCCATGGCAATCTGATAATTACATGTGATTATTTCAATTTTTCATTCTAATCTCTTGAGGTTTGTTTTGTTAGTGAGTATGTGTTCAATTTTTGAAAAGGTTCCATGAGGTGCTAAGAAGAATGTATATTCTTTTCTGTTTGGATGGAATATTCTATAGATGTCTGTTAAGTCCATTTGTGTCATAACATCTGTTAGTTTCCTTATTTCTCTTTTAATTTTTTTGTCTGACTGACCTGTCCAGTTGTAAGAGTGGAGAGTTGAAGTCTCCCACTATTAGTGTGTGGGGTTTAATGTATGATTTAAGTTTTTATAGTGTTTCTTTTACAGATGAGGGTGCCCTTGTGTTTGGGACATAGATGTTCAGTATTGAGGTTTTCTTTTGATGGATCTTTCCTGTGACTAATATGAAATATCCTTCTTTGTCTCTTTAGATTGATTTTAGTTTGAAGTCTATTTTGTTAGATATTAGGATAGCTACACAAGCTTGTTTCTTAGGTTCATTTGATTGGAATTTTTTTCCCAACACTTTACTCTGAGGCAATGTCTGTCTTTGAGGTTGAGGTGTGTTTCTTGCATGTAGCAGAAGGATGGATTCTGTTTTTGTTTCCAATCTGTTAGCTTGTCTTTTTATAGGTGAGTTGAGTCCCGTTATATTAAGGGATATTATCTATTTCCTGTTAATTTAGTTTTCATTGTTGGTGATGTTAATTTGTGTGTTCCCCTCTTCTCTGGTATTTGTTGCAGTGAGATCATCAATTGTCTGTGTTATTGTTGATGTAGCCAACTTCCTTAGGTTGGAGTTTTCTTTCTAGCACTTTGTGTAAGGCTAGGTTTGTGGCTAGGTATTGGTTAAATCTGGTATTGTCATGGAATATCTTTTTTTGTCCTTCTATGGTAATTGAAAGTTTTGCTGGGTATAGCAGTCTGGGCTGACATCTATGGTCTCTTAATGTCTGCACAACGTTTGACCATGACCTTCTGGCTTTCATTGTCTCCAATGAGAAGTCAGGTATAATTCTGATAGGTCTGTCTTCATATGTTACTTGGCCTTTTTTCTTTGTAGCTCTTTATTTATTATCTTTCTTTATTCTGTATGCTTAGTGTTTTGATTATTATGTAGTAAGGGAACTTTTTTTTTGATTCAGTCTGTTTGGTGTTCTGTACACTTCTTGCACCTTCATAGGCATATCTTTAGGTTGGGAAAGTTTTCTTCTTTGATTTTGTTGAATATATTTTCTGTGCTTTTGAGTTGAACTTCTTCTCCTTCTTCTATACCTATTATTCTTAGGTTTGGTCTTTTAATGGTCCCAAATTTTTGGATATTTTGTGTTAAGCTTTTGTTAGATTTAATGTCTTCTTTGACTGATGAGTTTATTTCCTCTATTGTATCTTCAGTGCTTGTGATTTTCCCTTCCATATCTTTGTATTCTACTATTTATATTTGAATTTGTGGCTCCTGATCACTTTCTCGTGATTTCTGTTTCTATAATTCCCACAGCTTGTGTTTTTATTGTTGTCTCTATTTCAGTTTTCAAGTCTTGAATAGTTTCTTTCATATGTTTGATTGTTTTTTTTCTTGGTTTTCTTTAAGGGATTTACTGTTATCTTCCAGTTTTTTTTTTTGTCTTTTCCTCCATTTCTTTGAGGAAATTTCTCATTTCCTCTTTAAGAGTCTCAAACATTCTCCTGAAGTTATTTTTTAGGTCATTTTCTTCTGCTTAATCTATATTTGGCTGTTCAACTCTTGCTGTTGTAGGGTCTCTAGATTTTACTGGTGTCATGTTGCTCTTTGTGGTATTGCATGTGCTCTTACCTTATCTACTCATCTTTTCCTCTAAGTGGTGTGTTTAGGGCTGTCTGTGACTCTGGTGATTAATCTTCTAAGTGCCTGTGGATCCAAGGTTCAGATGGTTGTTCCTCATGGTACAGACAGTGCCACAGTTCTAGTTACCCCATTGGTCCCTGGAGGTTGCTTAGTACTTCTGGGGTTTGCTCCTCTTCCGCGGAGTTTTCTGTCTGAGGCTGGCTCTGGTCTAGGTTGCCGACTCAGAGCTGTTTCTATAAATGTCCCTGGTCTGGATCTGCTCCTGTGGAGGTCCCTGGGTTGGGGCTGGTCCTACAAAGGTTTCTGGATCCCATCTACTCTCTTGGAGGTCGCAGACTTGTGTGTGCCCAGACCAACAGAGGACCTGGCTCAGGCCTCCTCCTTAAGAGGTCCCAGACTCATGGCCATACCCACAGAGGTTCTGACTCAGGTGTACTCCCTTGGAGGTCCCAGATTCATGCCCGGACTGCAGTGGTCCCTGGCTCTGGCCTACTTGCTCAGCAGTTGCTCCTCTGTATCTGCTCCTGTAGAGTTTGCTGTCTCAGGTCTGCTCTAGTCCAGGTTGCTAGCTCAGTCCTGCCCCCTCAAATGTCCTTGGTCTGGATCTGTTCCTGCTCCTCTGGAGTTCACCGTACCAGGCCTGCTCTAGTCCAGGTCACTGGCTGAGTCCTGATCCTGTGGAGTTTGCAGCCTCAGGTCTGCTCTTACCTGCTTGTTTCTTAGTTCCATTTGATTGGAAGTATTTTCCCAACCCTTTACTCTGAGGTAATTTCTGTCTTTGAGTTTTGGGTGTGTTTCTTGTATAAAGCAGGATGGATCCTGTTTTTTTTTTAAATTACCATTCTATTAGTCTGTGTCTTTTAAAAGATGAATTGAGTCCAGTTATATAAGATATATTAATGACCAGTGACTGTTAATTTCTGTTAACTTTTTTGTGGTAGTGTTTGTGTGTTTCAATTCTTTGGGGTTTGCTGGTGTGAGGTTATCTGTTGTCTGTGTTTTTGTGGGTCAGTTAGTTTCCTTGGGTTGGAGTTTTCCTTCTAGTACTTTCTGTAGGGATAAATTTATGGATGAGTATTGTTTAAATCTAGTTTTCTCATGGAATATCTTATTTTCTCTATTGATGATGACTGAAAGCTTTGCTGGAGGCATCTGGGCTTGCATCTGTTGTCTCTTAGTGTCTGCAGAACTTCTGTCCAGGACCTTCTGGCTTCATCATTTCTACTGAGTACTCAGGCATAATTCTGATAGGTCTGCCTTTATATGTTACTTGGCCTTTTTCCTTTGCAACTCTTATTATTATTTCTTTATTCTGTATGTTTAGTGTTTTGATTATTATATGGTAAGGGGATTATTTTTTTGATTCAGTCTTTTTGGTGTTCTGTAAGTTTCTTGTACTTTCATAGGGATATCCTTCTTTAGGTTGGGAAAGTTTTCTTCTATGATCTTGTTGAATATACTTTTTGTACCTTTGAGTTGCAGTTCTTCTTCTTCTATCTCTATTATTCTTATGTTTATGGTGTCCCATATTTCCTGGATGTTTTGTGTTAAGAATTTGTTGGATTTAATGTTTTCTTTGACTGATGTATCTATTTCCTCTATAGTATCTTCACCACTTGAGATTCTCTCTTCCATCTCTTGTATTCTGTTGCTTATGCTACCTTTGTAGTTCCTGTTAATTTACCCAGATTGTCCATATCCAGAATTTCCTCAGTTTGTGTTTTCTTCATTGCCTGTATTTCAGTCTTCAAGTCTTCTGCTGTTTGAACTGTTTGCTTCACCTGTTTGATTGTTTTTCTTTGGTTTCTTTGATTTATTGATTTCTTCCAATTTTTTGTCTTTTCCTCCAGTTCTTTAAGGAAAATTTTCTGTTCCTCTTTAAAAGTCTCCTTCATTCTCATAAAGTTACATTTAAAATCTTTTTTATGCTTCTTCTGGGTTAGGATGATCAAATCTGCCTGTTGTATGACCACTGGGTTCTGGTGTTACCATGTAGCTTTTTAGGTTGTTCAATGTATTCTTGCATTGGTGCCTACTCATCTCTTCCTCCAACTGATGCTGGTATGTTTTTGCCTCTTGGTCCAATCCTTGTAGTTGGCGTCTGTGTCTTTGGGAAGTGTTCTTGGTCCATTTTATACTGTCACTGTCTGTGTCCCAGGGAGCCACTGAGGTCTCTCTTGGCCCACTCTCATGGTCTGCTCACTTGGTTGATTTTCTTGGTGCACTCTGTGCAGTCACAGCCTGTGAGTTCCTCTCTTGGTCCTCTGTGCAGGTGCAGCCTGTGTTTTAGAGTTCCTCTGAGGTCGCAGGGGATAGAAGGTCTTGCGGGCAGAGAGGGACTTCACTATTTTTTCTTTTTTAAAAAAATGCTTCTCCTTATTCGTTTAGTATCCTATGTGGAACTCTGTAAATATATTCCTATATCCTGTATAGTGTACAGTCACTGATTTCTGTTAGACTTAATAAATAATTCTTGCAGTTATCTTTATGCCTGGCTCCTACTGGTCAACCCTGTGTCTTCTTTTTTATAGCTTCAAGGCCACTGGTGGCTTTTGTTGACTTTTATTGAGTCAGTGAGAGTGGTTAAAAGGGCTAACCCTCAGCTATAGTGCTAATAAATCTTATTCTTACAGAGACCCCCACAATTTTATTTGAATAGTCATGCTCTAATTTGATATGTGCTTCTGGTTAATTCCCAGTGTACTAAAATGCTTGACTTAAAAATTGCTTACTCAAAGTTCAAATTTGTCATAGACTAGGTCTTATTCTTGTTACAAAGCAAAGATATTGAACAAGGTAGCTAAGCTCATTTTTAGTACTGACAAAGATAATATAGAGATCACATGCAGTTATGGTTCTTACCAAGGGTATATGTTGAAGAAATCAAAGTAATTACCTATTATCATTTTCAGGAATTAGTTATGAAGTCATTGATTTATAGGATGACTAATATAAAAAAGGACAGCCTTCATACAGAGGAATCAGTAACTTATTTTGTGAGAGCTCTGGAAGAAAGCAGTAGTCTTTCAATGAGAATAAAGCATCCAATGCTGCTGGATGGTGGTGGCACACGCCTTTAATCCTAGCACTGGGGAGGCAGAGGTATGCAGCTCTCTGTGAGTGCAAGGCCAACCTGGTCTACAAGAGCTATTTCCATGTCAGGCACCAAAGCTACACAGAGAAACCCTGTTTCAAAGAAAAAATTCAAATAACAAACACACAAAAATCTAACACTAAATTTTACAGAAGTACCATATTTTCATCTTTCTTATCCCTATGAAGGGTGATGCAATTAGCAGAGACACATACAGAAAAAAAATCTCCTCCATGAATACTTTTGTGGGTAGTTGTCTTGAAGTGTATATTTGGCCTTTGATTTAGCAGTCTCTATGATACCAATGACTAGTAGGATGACAAAAAAAATGGGTAGTTAAATACCAGAGTTATATCCATTGCAAATGACAAGTAAGTCTTTATAGAGTACCACTCTCTTCTTTTTGTAAATGAATCTTACCTTTTATTTTTCTTAAGTTTTGATTCTTTGACTGTAGAAAAATCTTAAGGTTCTTTTTGAGATTCAGAGCCAAATCAGAATTCCCTGAAATTGAGTAAGGAACAATGGTTCTACCATAGTGAGTCAAATCCAATTCCCTTTCAGGTAAATCATTATCTTCTAAGCGCAGAGCTAATAAAAGATATGTAGTGACAACCGTAATTACTATGATCTGTAGTAACATCAGCTTCCAGTTGCGCCACATGAATAGTGCTCTTTTTATAAACATGGAACAAAACTGCTGGCGGTAAAGCGGAAACTATAAAGAGAAAGGAAAAATAATATTTTGATGATTAGAAATTTGAGTAGGATACTCATGATGAAATCCATTCATCATGCCTTAAAAATTTATGATGCAAAAATATGTACATAAGATATAACACAAAAATGAATTTTAGTTAACTCCTGTGAAAACAAAGCAAATAGTTTATTTATTCACTATTTTAAGGGTATTAATACCTGGTTTCTCATTAGAATAAAACTCATAAGATCATTTTCTTTCATGGAGAGAAGGGCAGTTCTAGACTCAAACTCTTACATATGCTAGGCAAGTACTTTATCACTGAGTTATATCCATAATCCCAATACTTTATTAACATTTTAAGAGTTTCTGATTAAAAATGGAAAATGTAGTATTTACCCTCTGTATGATATGATTATTATTAATGAATAAAGAAATTGCTTTGGACCTATAGCAGGGCAGAACTTAGGTAGATGGCGAAAACTAACCTGAATGCTGAGAGAAGGAAAGTGGAGTCAAAGAGAAGCCATGTAGTTCCACCAGAGATGGACGCTGGAACTTTACCCAGTAAGTTACTGCCACATGGCAATACACAAATTAATAGAAATGGGTTAAATTAAGATGTAAGACTCAGCAGATAAAAAACTAGAGATAATGAGCCAAGCAGTGATTTAAATAATATGGTTTCTGTGTGATTATTTTGGTTTGGGGTGGCCGGGACGAACAAGCGGCCTCATCTAACAAATTGGTGTGCCAACGTGGGTAACTACATCTACATAAAAACCTGAGAAAGCTTAAAAAGGAATTCTAGATACAAAAGAACAGAATTAAGCATGCTTCTTGGTAGCCAGTATTTTGCTGGCAGTGTGCTGCAGTTCCTTTATGAGAGGTCTTCCTGATTCAGTAATAGCAAATGCTGCTTAAGTTTTAAATGAAGGATTTCTGGGCTGTGCTGCCAGTGTCACCTCTTTCAGGAGGCTGAGAATTTAAATGAGGTTTGTGAGAAGAGTCCTACACCTGCTTAATGGCTCGACATAGACTGGCTGCAAACTTGAAACTGTGGCAATATGCACAGCTTGCACAAACTTCTTCCATGTTGGACAGTGTGGAGCCAGCAGGAAGTACCATATATAATCTAGTAATGCTCTAGCTTCCAAGTTTTCATTTTAAGAAGCACTCCTGTAAAGTAAAGAATTAAAGATACACAATAGGGCAGATTCAGACATAAAAGACCTCTAAATGAGTCACCGTGTTAGATAAATGTACATAGGCTTGGGAGAGAGACGAAAAAGAGTATGGACAGTTATAAAAGTAAATAAATGGTTTTAAAAAATAAAACAAAGTCTTTAAAGAGACAGAGTACAGAAAAAGTAATACAGTAAAAATAGATAAGCCATGTAAAAATGAAATATACATAAGAGTCTGGATTATATATATTATTGTGTTTTCTTTGAAATTTTTGTCTGTGAAGGAGCTAAGTAACCAACATATATACTTTAAAGGTATCTTGACTTCAGAATTTGAGCCTAAGGATATGTTGCTTTGGAAAAGAGGTTCTTCCTTCGTTTCCACAGAGGATGAGAACCTGTGGATTAATTCCAGGTTAATATGGTTTGATGGACCAAGAGCCCCTGAAAGGGGTGCCTTGAGCACCCCTCAAAAATTACTTCACTCAATAAACAGCAGGAAGCAGTTTGGCGAAGAACTACGTCTATATTTCCAAATATTGTTTATAAATGTTTCTTTATATTTAAAGGGGGATAAGCTATAGAGATTTGCATTGGTATGGATCTTGGTTTATTGATATAAATTTTAGGTCAATTTTATTGTATGTATTTTTCTACTCTTGATTACGGTGTTTGTGCATCTCATTTAAAAAACATAATGCATAATTAAGAAATATAGGTTAAGAGATAATCATCAATAATAGTCAAGCTTGTAGTCATGTTAGGTTTTCTAGATGTACAGAGATATATTTCAGATAGATAGCTATTCTTTTTTTTCTCAAAGTTTATTAAAATACAAAAGTCTCCATTTCCGCCCCTCCTCCCAACACCCTCCCACTTCCCCCAGTCCCTCCCCTCCTCCTTCTCCATCCCCAAGAGCAGTCAGGGTCTCCCGCCCTGTGGGTAGTTAAAGCTCCTCCCCCCTGGATAGCTATTCTTCAAACCTCTCAAAGACTAATAGAATATAACATTTAAAGTGTTTTAAGAATTTAGGACTTTTCATGATAATGAGACACATCTGCTCCTGGCAGCAGCAATTACTTCAAGAGGAAGATGGGCATTGAAGAGGCTCCTTATGGAGTTGGTTAGCCATTTGGGCAAGAAACTGCTCTTGCCTGTACTGCTTAAAGAACTGGACATGCAGGACCTGCAGAGAAATGACTGCTGAACTTGCCTAAAGGTGAGGCCATCCTTCAGGGGTCCTGCTTCATTAAAGAGTCTGCCAGACATTCTGTAGGGCCAAAAAGAAAGTGACTGACAAACTTCCAATATAGGTAGCTATGTCTTTAAAATTTCCTGCTTTGTGGAAAAGTCTGATGGATACTATGGACCTGTAGGCTGAAGACGGATGCTCCAATGGTACAGAAGAACTTTGCGTGACTGTCCAGGTAGCGAGATGTCTCTGTCAAATCTAGTTTTGGAAGTTGCTTACAATGCACTTCCTGTTTTCTTAGGTAATAATATATTCTTCTGGAGTCTTTGATGGAGTTGAAGAATTTATAGTTATAGTTTTTCTTAGTTATGATAAAAGATAAAGTAGATACAAATATTGTAACTGTAATTCTTGTTGGACACCTGTTTTGTTATATGTAATTTTACTATGTTAAAGTGAAAACCTTCCTTTTTATTTAAACAGAAAAGGGGAGGTGATTTGAGATTTCCCCTCTGTATGCTATGATTATCATTAATGAATAAAGAAACTGATTTGGACCTATAGCAGGGCAGAACTTAGGTAGGTGGCAAAAACTAAACTGAATGCTGGAGAAGGAAGGCGGAGTCAAAGAGAAGCCATGTAGCTCCAGCAGAGATGGACACCAGAACTTTATCCGGTAAGCCACTGCCATGTGGCCATACACAAATTAATAGAAATGGGTTAAATTAAGATGTAAGACTTAGCAGATAAAAAGCTAGAGATAATGGGCCAAGCAGTGATTTAAATAATATAGTTTCTTTGTGATTATTTCAGTTCTGGGTGGCCAGGACGAACAAGCGGTCTCATCCAACATTGTTTTCTTTCGTGGAGAGAAGGGCAGTTCTACACTCAAACTCTTACACATGCTAGGCAAGTACTCTATCACTGAGTTATACCCATAATCCCAAGATTTTCTTTATTAACAGTTTAAGAGTTTTTGATTAAAAATGGAAAACTGGTCTAGGTGTGGTGGTGCATGTCTTTAACTCCAGCGCTTGTGAGGTAGAAGCAGGTGAACCTCTCTTAGATTGAGGCCAGTCTGGTTTACAGAGTGAATGCCAGGTCATGTGAGTTACATAGTGAGATCCTATCTCAGAACAAACAAATAAAACACCACAAAAGTTGAAATTTTTTTTGTCTTTTCCCAATGTAAAATCTTTTTTTCTTTCATTTTGAATACTCCTCACAAAATGATTTTATTTTGACAGCAACACATACTGTAATACAGAGAGAAAATGCCCTCACTTTGAGCAACAACTATTTTCTGAATGTGGCAGTTTATAACTCCTTGGTGTAGCAAATGGAGAGTTTCTACTGAGAACTTTCACAAAGGGGTTCTGAGAAATAACAATGATGAGGGTAGCAGCCGGGATCTTTATCTAGAGCCTGTTTTTTACATATCAAGTACCACAGACTAGTCCATTTCTAGCTGTATACACTGGAAGCCTCTTCTAAGTTTAGACATTAAAAAGTGTGATATACCAAAGAAAATGCTATCACTTTGACAGTGGAGGGGCATGGAAGGCGCTGATGAAAGGGAACTTGGTAGGGGCTAGAAAGAGGAAAGAAAAGGAGGAGATGATGTAACTATATTTTAAATAAGTATAAAAATGAAACAATATAACATGCTTACCCCAGTGTTAAATTTAATTGTATTAATTTCTCTCAAATAGGGAAAATTTTGTCTGTTATAATTTCTGGGTATATTCACATTCTGCTGCTTATCTTGTCTCATCTTTTCATAATTCAAGTAATAGGGTTTGATATCCTGAATACTCCTTTGGGGAGCTGCCATCTTATTGACCCTACACATAATGTAGATACACAAAAAGAACACAAGGTATTTCTCTTTATTCATAGCCTCAAATTACTTTTCTTCAAGAATATAAAACCAGCCTTTAAAACAATATAGACTAATGACATTACCCTTGATTGCCTCCCAGAAATTGAAAGTAAGACCTTATAGGTAAAGACACCACACACTTTGGACACAGGATTTTGAAAACTGAGCTGGAACTGACTCCTCCCAAGGACTAGCTCTCACAGTAATGGAAAGAGCTGCATAAGCTACAAACCATATGATCATCACGGTAACAATTGTTGCCAGGGGTACAACAGTGGCACTAATATTTTGGGAGGCAACCAAAAACTGTTTGATTGGACTTAAATCCTGTTTAATAGGAGGCCATTCATGCCTGGTACTGAGAAACCTAGTCAACTACTTGAGGACAACTCATTACAGCCACTTTACCAAACAAATATAATTCCCAAATACATTCTATATACCCCTCCTTACAACTACAGATAAGTGTAGCTCTCAGCCCTCATTAATGAAGGTTTTCCCCAGCAGCTAAAAACCATTACAGACATGCACAGCTGGTTAAAATGCAGGGGACAAACTGACTGTGGGATACCCAATTCCAGCTGATACAGCTACAGCACACCTGCTACATCTAAGGATCACGGGACAGAACACAAAATGGGTGGAAAAATGTAAGAGACAGAGGACCAGGATATCTGCTGTGAGATAGTATATTTTATATTTGACAGGAAACCTTGTATCCATGAAACTCAACATATACAGCTGTCTAAACAAGTCCTGTGTAATGACTACACCAGTTGACATGTCTTTGTGGATGGAGGAAATCTCACAAAACCCTACTCTTAGATTTACATTCAATCAATGACTGAAAAGAGAGGAAGAATCAATCAGTCTTCACCACTGATGAGCCCGCTGATAGGTTATGCATTCCTGAGTGGTAATCTCTAGCATATATAAATATGAGAAACACTAAATGGACTCAATAGGACATTCTCTGTCTCTCTCTCTCTCTCTCTCTCTCTCTCTCTGTCTCTCTCTCTCTCTCTCTCTCACACACACACACACACACGTATATATATGAAACAATTGAAGAAGAGGTTGTGAATTTAAGAGGGGACATGGGAGGAGTTGGAGGAGAGAGAATATGAGCTGGAAATGATATAAATACAGCATTCACTCATGAAATTCTGAAAAAAATGTTAAAAAAGAGTTATGTATCAAAGCCCAAGTTCAACATCTTTACATCTCAGCTAAATATACATGGAAATATGTTTCCATAAAATAGTATATTTGAAAACTTAGTGACAATTTATTTCAGCTGCAAAAGGGTGAGATTTGTTTTTAAATTAACATAGAAATTTAGGGGTAGAAAGGGATTTTTCTTTTTTCTTTTTTTTACAGGTTGTTATAACTTACTTAAGGAAAACCTCTTCCATTGTAGTGATTGAAGCTCCAAAGTTGGCAATTCCCAGTGCTTTCTGTTTCATTTCCAATGTAGTAAACAAAGCTTCAAATCTGTAAAGAAAGAAGGAAGAAGAAAGCAGGTATTGGGCTTGGTTATATATTTTCCATTCATTTTATTTCTCAGTAAATGGAATAAAAATGTAAGCACCTCAATTTTCTCTATTTGTTATTTTAAATTATATATTATTTACTATAAATGTCTCCCTTTTTTTAAATTCTTAAGACTAGGGATGGAGTGCAGTGGAAAAGTACTTTCTTAGCATGAACAAGGCTTTGAGTTCAAATTCCAGCATTACAAACAACAAAAAGAATCCTTTCTTCATTTGCTTAAAATCTTTTCTTACAATATATTTGATCGTATCTTCTCTCTTCAACTTCTCCTAGATCCTCCCTACCTGCCCACACATCCAATTTCATGGTTTTTCTTATATTTTTGGTTGTGAGCCTAGCCTTTAATGGCTGAGCCATCTCTCCATCCCTCATGCTTTTTCTTAAGAAGAGTATATTAAAAAAAAAAAGAAACATGCTCCCCTTACACAAAAAAACACCAAGCCAAGCAAACAAACAAATACCACACAAAAACATGGAGTGTGCTCTGACCCATAGTTGATACACTCAATGTGACTTCATTGTAGAAAACGGATTTTCCTTCTCCCAGAAATTATCATTTTCAAATAGTTTCTAAGTTAGGAGTGAGATTTTTGTGCCCATTTTGTGTGCAGGGATTTTGTTTGGCTTAAACTTGGGCAGGTCTTAAGCATGCTGCTTGAATTTATATGTAAGTCAGTTCTGTTGTGTCTGGAAGACACTGCTTCCTTGCAGTCACCTATCACTTTTGAGTCTTATCATCTTTCTGAAATCTCCTCTTCTGAATAGTTCTCTGAACCTTGAGGGAAGGCTTCGATGAAGACCTCTCATTAGGTCTGAGTGCTCCAAAGTCTCTCACTCTCTGAACTGTCTAATTGTGGCTCTGGGTTATTTACCATCTACTGCAAGCAGCTTTTCGATGCAGGCTGAGAGAGGCACTGATCTATTGGTATAGAAATATATAAACTGGGAGCATTTTTACTCCTATGTTCATTTATCAGAATAATGGTTACTATGCTTTCCCTTAGGGCCCATGACCTATCTAGCCACGTTTCTGGACACTTTAGCAGTATGCGTTCCATCTAATGAAATGGTTCTTAAATCCAATGAAAATGTGGTTAGTTACTCCCGTAACAGTTGTGCCACTACTGCATCAGCGGGCATATCTTGTAGTCAGGTTGATGTTATATCTTTCAGGATTTGTAACTTGGTGAAGCCTCTAGTTGGGCACCAGCTTGATTCCTCTATTTATGTTCAATGACATAAGTGGTGTCTTCAACAATAGGATTTTCCACCTAGTTTTGGACAGTAACAAATAGCATTATCAAAATCCTGCAGAACTTGGGGGAAAGGGCTATGGGAGCCCTCTGGCCAATGGCTCAATAAGATATAACCCATTTCTGTTAGTGGTATTTTACTTGTAGCATAAAATGTCTAGCTAGAGCATTGTCTCCCTCATCATATGGTAACTCCATTTAAATTTCTTTAATATGTATATATTTTATGTTTTTATGGTAGATGGTTTCCATAGAGATTTTCTAAAGACATCCTTTACTACTAGTTTCCCTTACCTATAATCCCCCTTTATCCTGTTCTTCCATGCCTTTCTCCTTTTAATTCTACTCTATTTCCCCCTTTATCCCTTTGCAATTCTATATTCTATTTTCATTTCCTTGAGAGATTCCCCTCCTCTCCTCTGGACCCTTACTAGCTACTTAGCCTCTGTGGATATTCTAAATGAAACATACATATCTTAAAAGCTAACATGCACATAGAAGAGCAAACATGTAGTGTTTGTCTTTCTGGGTCATAAGTTATGTCCCTCAGGATGATGTTTCTAGCTCCACCCATTTACATATAAATTTCATAATTTTATTTTCTTAACAGCTGAATTATTCCGCTGTATAAATGTACCACATTTTCACTACTCATTCATTAGCTGATGGACTAATACATGTTGTTTCTAATTTCTGGTTGTTATGAACAGAGCAGCAATGATCATAGATGAGCAAATATCTCTTCAGTAAGTCCTTTGGGTATGTGCCCAAGAACAGTATAGCTAGATCTTGTGGTAGACCTATTTTCAGATTTTTGAGGATCTTCCACATTGATTTGCATAGTGACTGTAGTCATTTTCACTTGCACCAGCAAAATAGATAAGTGCTCCCCTTTCCCCTCAATCTTGCCAGCATATTCTGTCATTTGGCCTACTCACCTTGGCCTTTCTGACTGTGGTAAGATGAAAACTCAAAGTAGTTTTAATTTACATTTCCCGATGGCTAAGAATTTTGAACATTTCTAAAGCATTTTTCAGCCATTTGTGTTTCATCATTACAGAACTCTTTTTAATTCTATATTACATTTTCAAAATTGAGTTGTTTTCATAATTAGGAGTTTTTCTATATATAGACTAGTGACTGGTAACTATGTTTTTGCCATTCTGTAAGCTTTCTTACAGAATGCTTGAATGACAGTATCCATTTGCTTCGTGAGGTTCTATTTATTGTTGTTCTTAATTCCTGTACTATAGGGATCCTAATCAGAAATTCCTCTCCTGTGTTGATAAATTAAAATGTATTCTGTATTTTGTCTGTTGTCAGATTCAGAATATCTTGTTTGAGGTCTCTGATCCATTTGGAATAGAGTTTTGTGCAGGGGATGGATATGGATTCATTTGAATTCTTCCACATGCATCTATCCAGTTTTACCAGCATCATTTGTTGAAGATGCTGTCTTTTCTCCAGTGTGCATTTCTGGATTCTTCGTTAAAAATCAGATGTCCACAGGTTGAGGGGTTATGCCATGATATACAGTTCTATTCCACTGGTAAATCTGTCTGTTTTAATGCCAATACCATTCTATTATTGATAAGTATATCTATATAGTACAACTTAAAATTTGAAGTGTTGGTACTTCCAGCAGTTCTTTCATTATTCAATATTGTGTTAACTAACCTGAGATTTTGCATTTCCATATGAAGTTTAAGATTATTATTATTTTTTTTGACTACTGAGTGTAGACCAAGAGATGAGTGTTGCATGGAGGGGGCTGCTTGTTTATTCCTGCTACCCAGCTTGCTTAGCCCCGAAATAACCACACAGAAACTGTATTCATTAGAACACTGCTTGGCCCATTAGCTCTAGTTTCTTATTGACTAATTCTTACATCCTAATTTAACTCATTTCTATTAATCTGTGTATTGCCATGTGACTGTGGCTTACCGGCAAGATTCTAACAGGCATCCGTCTCAGGCAGGAGGATCCACGGTTTCTCCCACTCTGCCCTTCTTCCCAGCATTCAGTTCTGTCTTCTCCATCTACCTAAGTTCTGCCCTATCAACTAGTCCAAGGTAGTTTCTTTATTAACCAATGAAAGCAACACACAAACAGAAGGAACTCCTAGACTAGATGAGTGACCAGCTCTGCAGCTGGACAGTCCAGTCTCTAGACTCTAGGCCCCAGGGCAAAACCCTGGGTCCCTCCCCCACCTGCCTCGCTTCATTAGCTGACCAGCAGGCAAGTCACCTGCAGCCAGGCTGCTCCAAGACCCCCATATGGATTGGACCCTGTAATCTACAAGTCCCACTCTGGCCCCAAACCCACCCATTGCTGGAGACCTCAGCAGCTCCCTAAGACACAGACAGCAACTGCAATGTTTGGTTCAAGAGAGGATCCCTGAGACACAGACACCAACTGCAAAGATTGGACCAAAAGGCAAAAACACTGCCAGCATCAATTGAAGGAAGAGATGGGTAGGTGCCAATGCAAGAATACATTCAACAGCCTAAAAAGCAACATGGTAACATCAGAACCCAGTGGACATACAACAGGAAGACCTGAACATTCTAACCCAGAAGAAGCAGAAGAAAATTACCTTCGATGTAACTTTATGAAGATGATAGAGACCCTTAAAGAGGAAATGAAAAATTTCCTTAAAGAAACAGAGGAAAAGACAAACAAAAAACAGAAGAAATCAATAAATCTCTTAAAGAAATCAAAGAAAACCATGAAAAAAACAAATAGGTGAAGAAAACAGTTCAAGATTTGAAACTGAAATAGAAGCAATATAGAAAACACAGACCGAGGGAATTCTGGGAATGAAAAATCTGGGTAAATGAGCAAGAACTTCAGATGCAAGCATAACCAACAGAATACAAGAGATGGAAGAGAGAATCGCCAGTATTAAAGATATAATTGAAGAAATAGATTTAATGGTCAAAGCAAGTGTTAAATCCAACAAATTGTTAACACAAAACATTCAGGAAATCTGGGACATCATGAGAAGACCAAACCTAAGAATAATAGGGATAGAAGAAGGAAGAGAATTGCAGTTCACAGGCATAGAAAATATATTCAATAAAACCATGGAAGAAAACTTTCCCAACCTAAAGAAGGGTATGCCTATGAAAGTACAAGAAGCTTATAGAACACCAAATAAACTGAACCAAAAAAATCCCCTCACCATATAATAAACAAAATATAAAACATACAGAATAAAGAAAGAATACTAAGAGCTGCAAAGGAAAAAGGCCAATAGCATTTAAAGGCAGAATTGCACCTGATTTCTCAATGGAAACTCTGAAAGCAAGAAGATCCTGGACAGATGTGCTGCAGACACTAAGAGACTATGGATGCAAGCCCAGACTACCATATACAGCAAAGCTTTCAATCCCCATCGATAGAGAAAAGAAGATATTTCATGACAAAACTAGATTTAAACAATACCTATCCACAAACCCAGCCTTACAGAAAGTACTAGAAGGAAAACTCCAACCCAAGGAAATTAGCTGTACCCATGAAAATACAGACAACAGATAACCTCACACCAGCAAATCCCAAAGAAGGGAAACATACAAACACTACCACTAAAAACAAAACAAAACAAAACAAAACAAAAAAACAAAACAAAAAAAAAAAACTAAACCAAACCAAACCGAACCGAACTGAAACAAAAACAGGAATTAA